AATTGAACAGGATGATAGCTGGACAACATTTTGACCAGAAACTGACACTAGCTGTGTCTGGGATGGGGGTATTGGTAACTCTAAGTACATAGATTATGGGACTGAAGGTATTGCTTGTCTTGCAAATCTATTCCTCTATTTGTGATTTAGAGGGCTGGAGCTGATGGTTTAGTAAGAACATCCCATCCACAAGAGCCGACTGGGGATGTACCACAGAAACAAGTTTCTGTCAGAAAATGCTTTTTCAAAACTGCAATGCTTTGTACATACATATTAGTTGAAAAAAATTCCACTGAGTTGTGAGACCAGCTTCCTAGCAGGGCTGTTGAGGAACCAATGCCCCAAACATATGTTTTAAGAAGACTGATCAGATCTGTTGACTCTAGAACTTCCTGATTGCTCCCGGCTGCCTGACGGTCTGTGCAGGTAAGAGAACTTCCCATTAGGATTAAGGGATTGGCCCAAGATTTGTGGATAAACTCCACTGGAAAATAATGATCAGTACAAACCCCACCTTGTGCTCCAAGGGCAAGACAAATTTTTAACCTTGCTTCTTCACAATACATACATAGCAACCTAGCTATCTATGCAATCCAATTTTAAAAAACATCCTGCCAAAACAAGCCAATTCACTTCATACACTTCTTGCCTTGCAGAAGAGATAAGCTCTATGTTGCAGATAGTAGTCACAATGCTTAATGTGCTCCAAATATTTTATGTTAAAAAGAATAATGTGATTAACTGAAGAAAAAAATGTAACAAAGTAAGATTAAGAAGCTATTCAGAATTACCGAAGCCTTCAACCACATGATGAAAACATCCTTTTTTTTTTTTTTTTTTTTTTAGAAGGCATGCTTGGTTTCAGCAGCTTATCAAGAAAGCATTGTAGGGAGCCACCAACAGAATTCTTAACAACTTCACTGTTCTGTTTCACTTTTCTAAAGACATGTTTAAAAATGCAGTTCCCATTCCATCAATGCCCACTTTAATTTATAGGTCAATATATTAATTTTTTAAACTCAGGTGTCGTACCATAAGACATCTTAAGGAGTTACTACACCCAGGAAATGCCAAGTAGCTAGTGTGAAGTAAATGTAGTTCCTTATGAGGTTCACTGTGACTGATGCAATAGCAGTTCTCAAATATATGGCATTAGTATTTGACTATGCTAGAAATAGCATAACGGAGAAGAAGACCCGTTAGCTTGCCCAGAGAAATCAGGGGGCACAGTATGGTTTGTGATGGTTGGAGAGTCTTAAAAAGAACGTAACCAAGAGTTAGGTGACAGACTGGGCATTGACTGCACAGTCTCATGCATTTGGCCATTACTGCACATGCATTACAAGACTCAGTAAGAGGCTTCTGCATGGAGCAGCTCCTGCTGTATCTAAGCTGGAGCTACAGATGCAAGCCTTCTATGCTATCCGGACTAATTTCAGACTGGAGGGAGAACTACATGCTAAGAATTATTCCCAGCTCATAATTACATTATTATGAGGATTTTCACACTGGAGATATATGGCAAATGCAGATTTATTAAATTGCAGTCATACGAAGTTCCAAAGCATGTCTTAGCTATCCTATCATCTCCAGGTAGCTGAGAAATTCAATATGTCAACTGCTGTATCACAAGTGAACTCTGACTCATTCACTCAGTGCTAAGATGAAATACATTCATATGGGAGGCTATTTTTAATATAAAATTCTTAGCTCTTCCTCGAGTTAATTTGCTTATATGATTTTGTATATGTGAAAGTGTTTCAGCTCTTTAACGTTCTCTTTTCCCATCTGTGTTTTTCAAGAGCCATGCTTCAAAGTGTGAGAGGATTTTTTAAAATCCAGTTCAATATGTGGATCATTTCAAGTCAGAGATAGACAAGTTCTAAGGCTAACCCCACTTAAACTAGAGGAGAAATCTGGCTGATTTCAGTGGACTCTGGATTAGGCATTTTGTTAGGGCAAATCTGGGGCTAAGCTACAGACAGCTCCTCCTTTGTTAAACAAGCAATTATGTTATTAATGAAAGCATTTAAAACACTTTCCAGCATTCTTTAGATTCCTGGAAAGCCCTAGTGCATAAAACTAAAAATACACAGGAACTGTCTTTACAGGGATCTTTGCTTTGGATGAGCAACTATTAGTTGCTCAGTCATCGTTTACTGGCCCGCTATAGCAAATTGCCTGTTGATCTTTGCATTTAATTGCCTTGCAGATCTTTGATTCTGACACCTGCTCAGGAAAACAATATTGGCATGGTCTTAGATTGGCAAAGACAACATCTTTATGAAGCCACAGATGTGTTCTGCACATAAGGTGCATGATGTCTCAAACTCCCTTAGAAATCCAAACACGAAGGAAAATATATTCAATTTTAAATATAATTGTTACAAATGCAGTTATAATGCTGTAAACCCCAATCTCTACCCCCACTGCAAATCTGGAACAAGTGCACTGACATCCAAAGCTCTTCTTAAATTACATCAGGGTAATTAATACAAAAAAGCACATCTATATACAATTACTGATACATTTTTCCTGAGATATTAAGACAAAATTCAGGAGATGACCACACACTCATGGAGTAAGACTGAGGTAATGGCTGCATTCCACTGAAGTCACCCCAAAGAAGTCAGCTTTCATTTCCTGAAGAACTGAAAACAAGATGATTCTTGTGTATTTTCTGATCATATAAAGTTGAATGGGGTGGTGAAAAAAAGCTCTGTAAGATGACCATTTTTTGTTAAATTCTGATGGGTAATAAGTCACATTGATAGAGAACAACTGACTTCACCCCCTTTTAGTTTTATATAGTATTTCCACTTGTGTTCAGACACAAAATGCCTTTCGCCTTAAGGAAATTTTAAAGGCCACATGAGGATCCACATTACTATAAGCATAACTGATCCACTTTTAAATGCAGTGCTTTTAAGAGTATCCCCAAAATGCTTTCTATCTCAGACTGTGGCACAACACTCTAGAGAGCTGCTAAAATGCCAGTGTCCTACCAAGAAAGGTGCTTTCAAGCCATGGTGACAGGTTGTTGGGTTTTGTCGCTACTTACTGCTGAAGATAAATTTTAAGTTAAACACTTTGATGGCAGTGATGAGAAGGACGTATAAAGGTGGTTTTGTGTTCATGACAATGGTAGTAAATGGGAAAGCAGAAAAACATTGACTTCACTTGGTTGAAACCTTCCATGTAATAACAACAAAAGAATCCTGAATTGCTTCAATATTGTGAGCAATCCGTACTCCAGTTTTAGTCCTACATATTGTCATCGGCATCACTAAGATTATCAAAGAATCACTAGCTCTTTAGCTGTGCCCCCTGCATGATCTGTTTTTAGTAGTACTGTATGGAAGAATATCTCAAATAGATGGGTTAAAAAGTGGGAGTCTTATTTCTAGTTACAATAGTATAATGCTTTTTGAAGCACATAGTAGCAACATAACTATGTTTTAATATGTAATGCTGTGCACCCCATATTCTAATGTACTGTTTATGGAAGCCTATGCCAAGAAAATACAGAATTGTGAGACAAAAACTGTATAGCGTCACTCAGAACAAGAACACGGTATAAACTTATTTAAATAGAATCCACCACATTTTTTTCATTGTTTTTCTTCCTTAGCTTAATAAATTACTTACCTCTTTGCATTTACTCCACAGTGCTTGCTTAATAGAGGATACACAAGCTTCTTTTTGTTAAGCAGAGAAAAACCTCCTTTTCTCCATGCTGTGTTACATAAAATTCAACGTAATCTCTTTAGAGGATGGAAAAATAGCAATTTCTGGGAGTTGAGCATGGATATACGGAGGTCAGCAAATAACTATCAAAAATGCATTCAAAATGCAGATCTCTGACATCAGTAAAAAAAAAAAGAAAACAACACATCACCTAAATTACCTCACAGCTATTTGCATAAAGGGTTCAGAGGCAGTACAGTATAAGTACAGAGACACAAGCCATCTAAAGAGAACTTAGCAACAGTTCTATTGGATACTGTGTGTGTCTGTAGCAGAAAAAGGGCAACCTTGAAGCTCAGATGTGCAAACAGCTTTAAGGACTAAACAATCTCTTGGCAGATGCATCAAGCAAAAATCTGAAACTACAAACCAGGTAATTTACCAAATCATTTCCTTTTTAGCTGATTCTAACTTTCCTTCTAAAGATTGCTTTGAGCCAAATAGTCTATGTGATATTCTTAGGGCTGTTATTCAAGGACTTCATTAGAAGTGATAGAAACCTGCCAATAAGAGAGGTAATAAACTCATTCTCTATTTTAAAAATTTGTAAAATTGTGCATTTCTTTTATGTTCTGAAGATATAATTAAGCTAAATGACTGCTATACTAGTATTAAAGATGTATTCGATTCTACTGAAGGAACTCTGCTTACTGGAAAATAAATTCATGATAAGTGCATTAAGAATTCCATTGCTAGCTACAAGTACACTTGTTATCTGGGCAAGAGGTAATAGAGGATATGATTATTATCACGTCTCTGAAAAAAATATGAGGTGCTTCCCCAATACAAGAAATCTCCCTGACCAATGCAGCATAGCTATCTTACTATATTGACGAATACACAGAGACACAGCTACTTTAAATGTATAGAAATAGATACTAAAAAACTAATGGACTATTAAAGTTGGGCTTTAACTAAAGGTGGAATGAAAGTGCTGCAAATCCCAGTATTATTTTAAAATGAACCCTTAGCAAAGGGAATTGCCTGGTGGAGATTGTTAGTGCAGGTATATGTCTGTGTACCTCATGTGGGGCAACAGTTAACATAGAGTTCAAGAGCGAAATTATTTTTGCCTCTTGGCAGAAGGCAAAGCAAAATCACTGGCTTTCAGAACTATCTGTGCACCAGGAGGTTAGGTTTTAAAATGTTCATATTTATTCTGCCAGAAAAATGAACAAGTTCCTGGTTTTAATTATGAAGAATTTACAGATTCTTTGAAGAGTATAAAATAAACTGAGAGGTTAGGAACAGAAATTAGGAAGGACCCTCATACGAGACTTCAATCCTTACAGCAGTGCCATATTTCTTTTTCAATGTCTGGAAATATTGCTATTATTGCTAGGTTTGCGTGCTCCACCCTTCTCCCCTGTTATTCTCTCTCCCATGGAAGTTGCAGGAACGCCCGCCCCACAATGCCATCTATCCAACTGCCATTGCTACTCCTCTGCCTGACCTTGTGTGGTGTTTGCCTCAACGGTGGGCAACCCCTTCCAGAGGGAAGTGAGAACATGGGAAGAAGTCCCCTGGATGACATCCTGCAGAGATCTGAAAGCCTCATTCTTCAGTCTGTCCTCAAGAAAGCTGAAAAGGAAGAAGAGATGAATAAAGGTATATATAACACTGGGGACACCCATCTGGTGATGTTGGCATAGTAGTTGGCCAAGATCATTAAATCCAATGTATAGTTCCCAGGTTCTAATGTATATATTTATTACTTTAACTAAGGGGAGGGGAAGGATAGGAGGTCTGCTGCAATACACTGACACAGAGTTCTCAAAAGGCGCTTTCTTCTCTAAGATCTCCCCACTTAGGCAATGCTGTACCATCACTAAGCAGCTGCTGCATAATAAGAAGGTAAAAGCCTGTCACAGAAAACTTGCCTGTCTGGCAAGTACTTCCCCAGGGAAGCTCTAAGAGGACACGTGGAGGACACTGCCCAGTTGTGGACCCTGTACCTAATGTTAATTGGAGGTGGGAGTGCTGCCATTCACCTACTACCTAAACCCACTGGTTTCTACACCCCAACAGAGGTGGGCTTTTCCGTGGCTGGGAATGCAGAGGCTGCTCTAGTGTTCACCGCCTCCTAGCTTGCAGATGCTCTGCCCTCACTAGTCACAGCAGTGGAAGCAAAATAGACTCAGGGATTGCAAGAAGCAGCACATAGGTGCCTGCCACCAACAAGGGGCACAGAGCCCTTTCAGAGTGGAAGGAGGAGCTGGCCTCAAGTGCCCATAGAAAAAGCCTTCCTCCCTTTTCACATGAATGCTGAGAGTTGGTCATGTTTATCTAAGACCTGAAATACTAAAATGAGCTTAAGAATGAGTAAGAGATACTAATAGGGTTATGACTGATAGCTGGAAACACTGATATGGCTTTCAGATGTCCACATCCCTGCTTCCACTTGTGTCTCAGCCCTACCCTTTCCCTGTCTCATGCTGATTTCCAGCTCTTCCCCATACCCAGCTTCTGCAGCTGATTTCTTCCAGCTGCTCAGCATCTTTTATTCACCTCCCTTTACCTGAATCTGACACATTTACCTGAATCAACACATTAGGCTTTGTCATTGCATGTCTTCCCATTTGGCTGCAGCTAGTTCCTAATGTATCAATCCATCCTTGCTAAAAATGTGCCAGAACTGTTTTGACAGATGCCATCCAGAGTGATCAAATTCAAGACCATACACTTAACTGTGCAATTAAAAGAGCATAATGAGCAACAGATTATGATCCTGCACCATAGAACTCCACAAATTCCCATTTCAACTTCCTTAGCGCGGATTATGGGGGCTCATTAATATTATTCTTTTCCTTGGACAGAATCAAATGCCCCTCTGCCAGAATGGCTTTCCAAAAGACAACACCCTGGGAAAAAGTACCTAAGTGACCTGGAGAAGAGACAGCATCCTGGAAGAAGAGATGTTGAGGAAGACGCATCTTATGAAGACATTCAGAAGAGGCAGCATCCAGGGAAAAGAGAGATAGAAGACGACCTTTACGGCTATCTAGAGCTGAAAAAGCAACAGCATCCTGGCAGAAGCTCATTGTCGGATCAGTATGCTGACATCCCTAGGGCACAGCTAACCTACGTGAATGATTTATCCAAAAGACAGCATCCAGGCAGAAGGTATCTGATGTACAAGCGCCAGCATCCTAGCAAAAGAGGCTGGAATGATGAGGTAGACCTAAACGACCAATATGGTGAGAAACGCCAGCACCCTGGAAAAAGGCACTGGAATCCTGACAGCCCAGATGATGCAGGCCCCTGCAACTTTCAAGAGTCCTTCACCTGTAACAAAGGCAGCTTGTTGCTTGATTTAGTAGAAAATGTTAGCAAAGACAGGGTAGAAGAAAAACGTCAGCACCCAGGAAAGAGATCAGCATGAGAGAGTGAAACACAGGAATAAGAAAATAATTGAATAATTGTGTATCATTTGCATTTGGTGAGGTAAACTGCCAGATCACAAAAAAATTCCATTCACTCCCTTTTGGCTTCCTGCTGCTGGCCTCTGCACCTATCTTTCAGTGCATTAATGTTCCCATTTAAGTTAATGGCTTTGTCACACACTTAAAGTATAAGGAACTAAAGGACCCAGTTGAATGGGACAGGCAAGTACTGAGAGTCTTCAACTCCACCACTTTAGGAAGTTAAGAGTGCTCATTTCCTTATGGGCCCAGACCCCAGAATAATGTCACTATGTGTGTCCAATTTTCTGTTCCCAAATGACTAAAACAGGATCTTAAATATCTGTTCTGATGCTACGAAAGTGGAATAATTACATGGTTTCCTCTCACATCAGTGAAATCAGTAAGTTAATAGAGAGGGAGAAAAAAAAACATATTCCAATTATTTCAAAATGAAACTGAATAGGTTTTAAATTCTAAATGATACATTAATGAGACCTGAATCCTTGCGCACTACAATCTGTCCAGACAGTAAGCACTAAACAGAGATAGGAACTGTTCCAACTGGAACAGATTAGATGACTGACTTCATAGTTTGACTTGGAACTGGCACGTAAAACCCCTTTTCATCTACGAGGCTGCACAGTGCAAAGGGTTAATGTATCCCAGAGCATCTCAACCACAAGTCGTGAACCTGACTGCGTACACCCCATACTAGAACTCCCACCCTGCTGTGTCCACACTTCAGTCATGCCACTTGAAATCATGCCTTCTGCTCAGACATTTAAAAATGAAACAGGCAGATGTCCTTTTCTTCCAATAAGGATTTCTGATTCTCTCCTCTCAAAGGAATGCTTTCCCTTTCCATGGTCAGACTCCCAAAAGTGTTTATTTGATATGAATGATTCAATAAACATCAATAGTCAACTCTGGGTGTCCTTATTGGTTGTGCAAACATACTGTAAGAGTGAAAAACATAAACACAACTGAAGCTAAATAAAAATAAAGGTCAAAGGGTATTTTTATAGGTACAATCTTTTTGCATGCTGGTGGTCAGCACATGTTTATATGTAAAACGGTTTTGCTACTGAAGTGGAAGGACGATTTGCATATAGATAGATTTCCTTTTTAAATCTTCTACCTGTATGACACACAAAATTATGCATCTGGGCTAAACCCACAGCAACCTTGTCACCTAGTTCACAGGAAACTTTACTAGAAGTTTGATTTCCTGTTCACAGGTCTAAACAATAGATTTACTGATTTTTGCAATTAATGCACAGTTATTGAGTGTATTGAGTTATTCATATCACTTTTTGTACATTCAAAGAGGTTAGAGCATGTCAACACTTCGCTAGAATCTTATCTTTTTATAAACAAATGAGTATGTTTTCCACTGACATTCATCCTTCTCAATACCATCAAGACACATTAAGTGCCTTGAGTGTTCCTTTTAAATATGATTGTTTCCCCACTCAGTGCCTCAGAGCAATTCCTCAATTATAGAACTTAGTTTTGCCATATGGTTTAGTTTCACTGAAGTTAGATGTTCCCAGGCTGACCAACACTTAACATGATCTATCAAACAATTTCTAACTTTGGAGATAATATGCTGTTTAATATATGTGACAACTGGCAGACCTCTTCTATTGACAGGGGTTTTCTAATTAACAAGTGCTGAAGGAATCCTCAGAGGAGGTAGCTGGGAACATTCCATACACTTCAAATTCCTTCAGCACACTTCCTGTATATGATGCCTTTTAAAATGTTCAGTTTTCATTTTATAAGGGAAAAAAAGATTTGTCTAAAGAATACCATTTCATATACCATTTCCAGCAATGAATTAATGCTTCTTAAACCTCAGGGAACACTACTACACAAGACCACCACCACTTGCTACAAAATGTCCAAAATAAGTGAAAAACAGGAATGAAAAAATTAGCAAGTGGGTAAACATGGGCAACAGCAAAAATGCATCACAGTTCCTGCAAGACAAGGATGCTGCTGTGGCTGTTACAAGAAAGCCAAGGTGGGGAAGGGAGAGAAGCGTGAAAGCCCAAGGTCAAAGCTTTTAATATGCAGCTACAAACAGCTGGTTCAAGCTATTAGGTTACTGCCTATAAAATCTACCATTCTGAGTAAATCTCAGATGTACTTTATTATCCATAAATCAATCACTTATTAAAAAGGAAAAGAGTGTGTTCTCCTCTCAGTATGGCCAGTGAAAAGCTAACACAACCGATTTTATGTAAGTCTAATTTTTCCATCTTCTGTATTTTAGGTTCTGAGTGCTCCAATATTTTCAAAGATGCCAAGTTCTGCCAGGGGCTAGTCATCTGTTTAAAAGCAAGGCTATCACTACTATAATTTTTTAAGGAATTATTTCTATTGGTTCTGAGTTGTTTTGCTTTGTTGGGATTTTTTGCGTTTTGGTTTTTTTTTTAAAAGCCAAGCCTGAGCTGACAGCACTTTACAGTAAATCAGATTTATCACGTCATTATTATCATGCCTGCAGTTTTTAAAATTTGCCTCAGTTTGGAGCTGCTGAAAATGCCCTCGCCTGGGTGGGAGAGGCGCAATGTAAGCAGATACTAGGACAGCTCTGACCCATTTCAATTACTTCAAAAAAAAACTTCATTACTCCAGCAAAAGGTCTCTGGAAAATGACAGAAACACTCTCAGGGATTCCTAGACAGAGGTGGGACCACATGTGAAAGATCCCCTTCCAAGCTGTGTAGGCCAGTAGCCAGTTTGAAGGACAATACACAGATTTCCATTCAGAAGAGCACACGTACGGGTCCTGATGCTGGCTTGATATGCCCATGAACAGAAAACAGTGTAACTTGGAGACTGAAACACGAGCCAAAAGTCCAGAGCTTCTGTCAGTGACCTGGGTTTGAAAATCCTAGAAACTCAAAGAGAATGACCCTGAAAACAGAACTGAACTTTCTGCATCATATTTCCCATGTATATAACACTCAAAAGAGCCAGCAAATCTGCTACTGAGGCGCCATAAAAACGCAACCATCATTGCCAAGTAGCCAGAAAAGTGACAGCCCTGACAGAAATCACAAGAGGATGAAGCAGGATGCTCTTAACCTTCCAAAGATATTTGTCTAATTATAGCTAGTTGTAGTTCTCTTTAATCCTGCGGTTCCTGCACCTACATGATTATTTTGATTATGCTAAACATGGCTCATGGAGCTACATTATCTCTGAAAAGACTTGGAGATAGAGCTACAAGTGCAACCTAGGAAAGAATAAAATTAATCACCAAATTCAAATTTTGCAGGTAGGTTAGAACTTGTACCTGGTGGGGATCTGATAATCTTATTTAATCCCATGCATTTTTTTGAAACATAAGACCATTTACAAAAAGGGAACAAAAATTCTGGTTTTCTCCATTTTATATTAAATTTTCCCTTTAAAACTTTCAAAGGCTAGCATTTACTTTCAATGGAGAAAATACTCAGTCATTCTATTACTTGCATAGAAGACTGTCACTCAAGAAAAGGAAAGAGAGGGTTTTCATTGGGGAAAAAGATTACATATTTTAAGAGTTCTCCTACTTTTTTTTAAGTAACTCAAAACAATATTTCAATCTTGCCAACAAAATTTGTCCAGATTTTTGTTTTGATTGCAAGTACATTTTCTCTCAGTATCTGCATGAAAATTTCACCTCCTAATTTCTTCTGCCTTCTGCAGTGTTGCAGACATACCACCATTCAAGTAAAACATTCTTTCTCCTACAGACATAATTCTCAGAGGAACCCCTGCCATTTGTGATTTGACAATTTTGTGACTATGAAACACACATAAGCACAAGTTCTGAAGTTAAGTATCTGTCAGATTTACCTACACCCTAAAAACTTTTTGGCTCTGGAGTTCGGCTAAGGGACTAACCTTGAAAGAACCAGCTTCTACACTATAATGCTCTGCTTCTTTGAATAGTAAATATAGTGCAATCTCTTAGCAACATGAACTACACAGATATATATTCTTAGTTATAAGGTAAGAATTTGTTAATTGCACATCTCTCATCATCTTATTTTTATTGTATACCTTCCCCTCGCTGTCATCTTTTATGAGAATTTAACATCCATGCAAACACCTACACATTACTAGCTTTGCTCAGTCACACACATAAATGTACTTGCACATTTTGATAATTACAGAACAGGGCCTTTAAGTTGCGAAGATCCTTGATGAAGTGCACTATCTGTCTGTAAGACAGTCTGTGGCTCTTCAGGAATGATAACAAATCAATAGCAGACTTGGTCCAAAGGTCATGGAAGTCACTGGAAAAAGCTCCCTTGTCCTCTGCAGAATCTGGATTAGGTCCACAGAGCAAAGCTGTGCACTGGCCCTAATGTGGCACCACAGACATGCCAAATCTTATTTCCAGCTTTAATTGAGACTAAAGCAACCATGCACAGATGAGTTCTTTGTTTACTCTACTGCAATTTTACATTTCTGGCATGTTACCAGTTATTGAGACATAAGGGAGTTTGATTCCTAAAGAGCAACTTTTACAAGTGTCTTCAAAATGAGCTTTGTTTTCAATGGGAGGGGAAAGTTGATGCGAACAAGCCGTATAATTAACATTGCCTGCAACTATTTACAACTCTTCTCACCATTACTGTTCTGTGCCCCCTCCCACACACTTATCAGCCTTGACCTCTTTGCTAACCCACTGTAATTAGCATGGGCTGAGTGTTTCCAAGGGACATGTGGCCCCAACAAACCCCTTTATTGCTACTTTTAATGAGTCATTAGTTGGAGAAAGTTTGAAAACAACATCATCACCGTAGCTGAAGTAGAGTCACTGCTTGCCTGGTAACTCACTCAGTTAACATTGAACAGCCAGCTGCAATTTTAATGCATCAGTCAAGACATTGCTATGAATAAAAACTACGATGAAAAGCAGTCAAGTGGAGAAGCACTGCAGAAGGCATGAGCCTGGGTGAGGTCTAGGCTGTAA